GAAGGAATTGTGTGCAGGTTTGATACAAGAAATAAATGGAATTTTCAATGGTGCAATAGAATTATGTGACTATAACATTAGAACAGATATTTGACTTACTATCAGCTATATTCTGAAGAAAATAATTAAAGCAAGAAAATAAGTAAAGCAATTACTGGCCGAGGTTCTTAAGAAACCAATATATTTAGTTTATTTAGTTATTTGCATTTGTTATACCTTTTGAGGTGAGATCAATGTAGTAGTGAAAATACCAACCTCTGAAAAACATGAATATGGTAGTTTTAATCCCAAATTATATTAAAAAGATAATAATTCTTTACAGAGTTGTTTAAAGGAAATAAAAAGTCGTATATATCAAATCACCACCAATCATTGCTAAAAAGTTTCCTCTTCAAGAATTCCTGTGAAATTGATTTAAGCCAACACAAGTTTTTAGAAATTTCCTGATAATTATTTCATAATCTAAAAATTAATTCCTCTACTTCAGAAAAATACCTTCTGTGTTTTATGTTAGCCCTTTATGTGACTGTAACATTAAAGGGTATCTTCTGACAAATATAATCTTCATTGTTATCTCTTCCATGTTGATGGAATTGTATATATGAACATGATTACTTTCAATTGGTAAATAAATGACTTGAAAAAAGAATGGCATTTTGCCCCATTTTCATAAACAATGAAAATGTTTAGAAAGTTAGATACACATTTACATTTTAAATTTTTAACTTTAATTCCTCAAGTCCTTTTTATGTTACAAAGCTAAATAAATATTTTTCAAATAAGTTCTAGTATTACTGAATCAAGAATTAAAAATAACTTTATGTTATGAATCTAAGCAATTCTTTAGATGCAATTATTTAGATAAAACCATCAAAGTCCAGGTAAATGAGCCAATTTATCTTGTCTGACTTTACCTAGTTGCCGATATAAACAATAATCTTATGACATGGAGGCTAGCACCCCACTACCTGTTTACAATTCCTTACCTATAGAGTACTATTATCTAAATTATTGTATGCTGCCAAAACCTCCAATTTGTTTTGTTTGATTTCTCATTTGTAGCAGTTAGGTCAGGAATAATATAATATGGAATATGAAAGAATGATTAAATCAATCAGAAATATTAATTGGAAATACAGTGAGGATAATATTAATATCAGTTATAATATGAATAGTTTATAATTTAAGAATAAACACTACTAAAAACTTTGGAAATTATATGCAATATTTGTGTTATTACTATCATAAAATATTTATTTTAAAAGGTTTTTAAATTGTAGAAAACAGTTGGTTACGGCACATTATCAATCCGAATCAATGCACTGACTAAAATGTATTTGCTATATGAAAGTTGAAGTCATCTAAAGACACTTTAAGTTTACTTGAAAACACAAGTAATAGCTACTGGGAACATCACACATTTTGCTTCATTTAATAAACACATTAGTATAAAGTTTGCTGAAATGTCAGTGTTTCTCTGCTTAACCTTCACACCTCTGTCACCTCAAATTAACGGAATTAAGCTCCCTGTGAATCTGTCAACAGCTTGTATTCAAATGTCAGCAAGTTTATGTAAATATTATACAGTAGTTCCTTTTAATCCATAATCATTTGACAAGAGGATAAATGGTATCAATTTGATTTCTCTTGATGTCTGATTATCTTTCTTGAATAAAAGGTGAAAGTATCAGACTGAAAAAGAAAACCTGCTTAAGAATGAAAATTAATGGCATGTTAATTACTTGCAGAGATAATATAGTATGTTTTACATTTACTTTGCATTCATTGAAAGTTTTTATGGATGTAGATATTGGAAGAAGTTTAGAAGTACTTATGAAGAAGCTTCTGTTGTAACAATATTCCAAGAAATATTTATGTATTTCAACTGCAATATAAACAAGTATTTGTAACATCTTAAATATCAGGTTTACAAATTTTAACAGTCTGATTTAGCAAACTCTTGATAAGCTCAATCTCCTAGGTCCCCCCCCCCCATGTACTTATTATCCGCGAACAAACAGGAGTCACACTTCTGTTCAATGTGGAATAGCAAATGAGTGATGGTAATACCACTTAGCTTCCCATGGTAAACATTACAGCACTAGTTATCTAAGTTACACACTAGAGGTGGGTTGCTTCTGGCATTACTGCCGGTTCAGTGTACATATAATTTTGTGCGGGCGCTCCGCATGGGTGTGCAGTTGTACAGTTGCCCATAAATAGGTCTGCGCATGCGCAGAACATTAAAAAATAAAAAAAGGATGCACACTGACCAGGGAACTTGTTTAGAAGCATAGCAAGCCTGGGTCGCTGCCGATTCCAGGCCAGCAAGCTACTACCGGTTCGGCTGAACTGGGCCAAACCGGTATGAACCCACCTCTGTTACACACCCCAAATAAGAGAAGGGCTTTTATCTTAGTCTGGTGTAATGCTCTGTCTTTAACTCTTCTGGCTGGAAAGAACAAAAAGATACAATATTGATTAAAAGTAGGCTCTTGTGAGGATAGGTAGAAAATATTGAACATGTTCTTCTTTATTGCTACATAGACTCTTGAAATCCTCTAAATACCCCATGTGACCAGCAAACTGGATACAATATTTAACAGTATATGCAATTGCTACTTTTTGATATCAAATAACAAGTGAAGTTGCCAGTTTTTGCATGGGTGCATACAACATCAGGCAAAGAATAATGAAGAGTAATTGAACCTGCCTGAGCAAAAAGGTAAAAGTTTCCATGTTCAGTCATATCTGATTCCAAGGCACAGTGGTCATCTCTGTTTCTTGGTTGAGGAAACCAGCAGTGTCCAAAGATATTTTCTGTGGTCACATGGCTAGCGTGGCTATATGCCAAAGGCACACAGAACATTGTTACATTCTTACCAAAGTGGTACCTATTAATCTGCTTACATTTGCTTGCTTTCAGGCTGCTAGTGGGCAAGAGCTGAGGCAGGGACAGGAGCTCGCCCCTTTGCACAGTACTCAGCTCTTTAATCGGGGCTGTCAGCTTTCCTGTCTGGGTATGGATAGCCAAAAATGGCTTTGGCTCAGCATTTATCATAGGTTTTGGGGTGTACGTGCCATGTCATTATTGTACTATATTTTTCTCAGACTTGACAGGGAGATATATNATGTCCCTGTGACCAGCAAGGCTTTGGCTTCCCTGTCACCATCTCTTCAGGATGGTTTAGGTCCTACCGGACTGTCCAAAGACAAAAGTTTAATCGACGGACTCGGACTGTTGGGTCCGTACGATGCGTTGTCACGACGTTGGCTCCTCCCTTCTCAATCATGTGAGTTATTAACTCTGTCACAATGCAGCTAAGGCTCCCCCCCCCCCGACTGGAGAAAACATCCAGTTTTCCTCTGCAGCCTGCTCCGATCAATTCAGGCATCTGATATCACAGGAGACCCGATACGGCCGCCAGCCCCAATTACTGTAGATGGGGAATAGCACTATGTAGTGCAAGATATACTATATACCAGGTGGCACAGAGGGCGATTACAATGCCTTGTTTTATAGAAATCTTATCCCCTGTCGGAGGCATCATGGGTTCATAGTAAGGAGTGTAGAATGCCCACCAGGTAGCGAGATTCCACCACAGACATCCCACAAAACCAGGGGGAGGGGTCCTTCGGCTCCTAACTGATAGTAATTTTTACCTCCCCAGATGCTGTCTTCATGGTAGAAGGGCCACATGTCAGCTCCAGCGAGCCCAGAGGCCCGGAGCTGCCATTCAGGGGGGGAAACTGGGTGAGCTGCCAAGACTCATGCTTACCAGATAGAGATCTCCTCCACCACAAGCAGTCCAGCTGAGAATTCTACAAAGCTCTTCATGACTGACTGCTGGGAGGTTTCCACTAAGAACATTCCACAACAGATAACCAACTGAGAACAATTCATGATTGATTGCTGGGTGGTTTTCACTCTGGGTCATGAGGTGATGAGTGTGTGTGCTGGCAGGGCCTGCAGAGCTTGCTTTTTTTCCAGCCAGTCTTGTTGCGACGCTTCCGGCTTCTCCTGTTGCAATTTTTTTTCAATAATGTTATAATACAGTAACTTGGCTTTCTTTCTGAGACCAATCTTGTTATTGAGTTCTTTAATAACTAACATTTCTGTACTGGAGCCAAAATTTAATGTAAAGCATGTTAAAAGATGCTAGTAGATAATTTTCTTCCAGGAAAGAATGTTCTTGGTCTGTAGCTGAATCTGAAAAATGATTATGTTTTTTATTGTTTAAATCCCTTCTATTTCTTCTTTTATGAAAATGTGTATTCATCAGAAAAATGTACCATCTTTGTTGTATATTGGCTCCTTATAACTAATACCTATATCATCTTGTAATTCACTTTCAATTTATTATCTTCCATGCAATTAAGTACTGGCAGAAAGCCACACTTTACCTGAAGATTGTTACCTTATCCATCTCCAAATATCCTGGTCACATACCCCCAGCATTTTCATATTGTTATTAAAAAGCGTTGTTCATAAAATTTAGGCAAAGAAACATAATAAGTTGAGTTTTGAAGAATAGCTCTTTTCTTCTGTCTCCAAGTGACACCATCAGAAGTCTATCTGATTAAACTATCAAGAAAAATACCATGCTTGATATTATTAAAAGCTGCTAATAGGTCAAAAACACTAGCATTCAGGTTTTCTAAATTATCTAGCAAGCCATTCAAGACAGTTTCGCTGAAAATTTCATTGGAAATCAGCTTGGGTCAAGATGTTCTGATTCCTGCTTCAGTTACTATACTTCCTAGTTATGAATCTAGTTTATCTCGGCATCTATGCAAATTATTACAACATAATATATTCATTAGAAAATTAAATAAGAAATGTGTAGCTATTAATCTGATGTTAATTCTAGATGATGATGCTATTTCAATGGTTTTGCATTCACTCACTATTCTATTCTGATTTTTGTTAATATTTGATATTTCTAAATGTAATGCTTTTATTAAAAAGAATTGATTGAATATTATTATTTTCATTTCAGTTTTCTGCCTGATTATATCAGTGGAGACTTTGACTCTATTTTACCTGAAGTAAGAGAATATTATATAGAGAAGGTAAGTAAATTCTTAAAAAGAGGTAAAGGCTTTCTCTAGTAGCATAAACTCTGTTTATTTATTGACTGAAGCACAGAGAAATTTACATGGAGAAGACCCAGGACAGATAGATAGAAAACTATTATTAAGAGAAAGAAAGGGGTAAAGTTGCATTTAAAGTATTTATCTTGTTTAAAGCAAAGGAAACTTAAAAGGATTCATTTCTTGATTAATAATAATTACTCATAAGCTCACAGCAGAAACACTCTTTGGACATCATGGGTTTTAATTTGGTCCAAAAGGGGCAGGACCTCAACGTGCCACTTTAAATGCCAAAGATTTAACATTGACCAGGAGCTCAGGAGCTAGGTAAGTCATTTGTTAAGCACAATGGTAGAGATCCAATTCAGAGTAGTATTTGGAATAGATTGCATTGAAACAACATTTTAGCTTTTATTCTTCCTTACTTCACAAAATTAGAGTGAGAGAAATAGAATGGAAATTAGAAAGTATGGAGGATGCTCAGCCAAAATTCCCAGGAAATACAAAGCTGTTTCAGCAACCACCTGTCATTACCTTTGGTCAGTGGCTACTGTTCTTAATCTTTGAACACGAGTTATGTATTTCTGTTTAGTGGCCTTATATTGTAAATTTCCAAAAACATATATCATTTAATATGCACATCCATATTTTCTTAATAATATCTGTGGAAACCTCTCTTCCCTTCAGATATTGTTGATTTATGTTAAAATTGAGACACGCAATTTATCTTATCTGTTATCTCAGGTCCTGTTCTGAGAATAAGAAATAAAAATATTTCTTTAAATCTTGTAATAAAAATAGTATTGAATTCTGTTTCATGAGAATGGAAAAGAGAACAGATTATTTAAAACCACTAACTTTTAATTAGAAAAAAAAAACATTACTGTTAGAAATCAGTTAATTCATTTCACATCAAATAAGCAGAAAATGATTTTTTCCTTCCTTCCTTCCTTCCTTCCTTCCTTCCTTCCTTCCTTCCTTCCTTCCTTCCTTCCTTCTTGTGTCTCTCTCCATTCTTTCTTTCTCTTTTTTTTCTCTCTTTCTATCTTTGTCTCTTTTTTCTCTCTCTCTCTTCCTTCCTTCCTTTTCTCTTTCTCTCTTACTCTTTCTCTTTCTTTCTCTCTCCCCCCCCCACATCTCTGTCACACACACACATCCCTTCCAGTTAGCAATAATTTATGTTTTGCCAGCTGGGAGGCTGGCAAAGAAGCCTCACTATCCATTTAAAACAAACCCTATCACTCTACACACATTTAACTGGAGTGAGTGGAATGGGAGTGATTTTCATGGGGGCAGAAGAGGGACTCGGCACTTGGCATCAAAGGCTTCACTCCTGAGACATCCCCATCTTCCTACCTGTATTCGTAGGCATTGAAAGTCTGAAAATACCAACCCCCGCATTTTCATGAGGGCAAGTAGCTCCACAAATTGCATCAGGGAATCGGGCCAACGGGCAGTGATGACTGGAAAGGAGAGACATTTCGCTTTCAGGGCTCCTTATTTGCTCAGCTCCCAGGAGGGTTAGATGGTGGCGGTGGTAGTTCCTGGAGAGTGAAGTCATTGTGGTCATTGTCTCCCCTGAGCTGCCTGCCAAGTCTCTGAGGTACCTCTCACTTACAGGAGGAGGAGGAGGGGCGGCGTAAAGCAGCGCTACCTTAAACCAAAGCCTCTGAGTAACTGGGAAAGAAAGCCGTGCTTGGAACCTGCTGAAAACTGCTGCTTGAAAAGCACGGCTTTCTTTCCCAGTTACTCAGAGGCTTTGGTTTAAGGTGGCGCTTCTTTATGCTGCCCCTCCTCCTCCTGCTGCATTAGATTTCTTTTCTTCCAGAATAGCAGGAGGGAAAAAATCCCACCTCACCTCCAAGGTCCAATACTACAGCTCTGCAAGAAGAGTGGGGGGAGATGGGGGACTTCTGCTTGCCAGCGGGGATTACTGGGTCTTGACTGCCTCATGCAAGTACTGTAGGTGTGTCATTCCTCTCTCAAACACACACAAACCATTTCCCTCATGTCTGCCACTGAAAGTTCTCAAAGAGAAGAAAGTGTAAGGACTCCTGCCTTGGGAAGGGGTTGGATAGATTACCTCCATGTTCCCTTGCATCGCTCTATGTTCTCTGTCCCATTTAGTCACAAACAGCCCCATTCACTTTGAAGTTGGTCGCAAACTCTACTCTTCCCACCTACACTCTGGTCCCACTCAAGGAGGCGAGCTATGGGGTGGGGGAAAGAGGGAGTCTTTGGCTCCGTGTCTCTCAATCTTCCCTGCTTCAGACCTGCGCATCCAGCACAACCAACCTCCCTGCCTCACCTGGGACTTTGCCTTTCTTGGGTGGGCGGGCGGGGGCTGCACCAGGGAGGCAGCAGTTGTCTGTCCTGGAGCTGAGGGTGAAGGAGCAGCCAGTGCTCGGACCAGCCAAGATTGGTGGACTTGGCTCCCCCCGCGCCCTGACTTTTGATGCTGAACCTTCGGTCCTCCCCCCCCCCCCCGCAGGCTTTGGGCACCAAAGGTGCCGGGCGAGGTTGTGCAGGTGCCTGCTGCCCTGCCCGGCTCCTGCGACAGAGGGCGAGAGAGAAGTGGCGGCCGGAATGAGGTCCACCATGGTCCCTGGCTCTTCCCCAGAGGATCCCATGACAGGGATCCTCCTTCGGGTCCTCTGTTTCTGAGGATGCACAGCTCTGGGTGAGCCAGGCGGAGTGGACTTCTTCCAACCGCAGAGTCCTCCACTCCTGTTCCTTCCTCTGCTGTGGAAGAAGCCCATGTTTCCTTCTCTTTGTCAGCTGCCTCGTTTCCAATGGGGGGAGAAATCTATGCATGTGAGGGAAGAGAAGGCCAAGCTTCTGCTACAGACTGCCTTTCCTGCCCCCCCCCCAATTGAAAACAAGGCAGCTGTCAAAGAGAAGGAAGCGGGGACTTCTTCCACAGCCAAGGAAGGAACAGGAATGGAGGACTCAGTGGTTGGAAGAAGCCCGCTCTACGAGACTCTCCCAGGGCTCTGCGCCCTCCAGAAACAGCAGGGCTGAAGGAGTGTCCCTGTCACGGGATCCTTTGGGGAAGGGCCAGGGACCTTGTTCCAGCTGCCACTTCTCTCTCGCCCTGTTGTTGCTTCAAGCCCCTGGTAAATTCTTGCCTGTCCTGTGCCACTTGGCATGCCTGCCTGTTTAGTTGTATACTCTTGTTAGTGCGCTGATTGCATTCTAAATACCCCATCAATCTTCCGATGTAACATTTAACCATTCCTGCTGCTAATGAGATGAGTTCTGGTATTGATGGGAGGGGGAATTTAATTTCTAAAACAACAAATGCTATGTATTGGATNAATAAGTAACAGAATGGAGGAAGAAGTGAAATTAATATTGGTCAATATAAATGGACTAAATTCACCTATAAAAAGAAGACAAACAATTTCTAAACCCCAAAAACAAAACATCAACATCACATGCCTACAGGAAATTCATATTAAAAAAGGAAATGGTAGTATCCTGGAGTCTCCAAAGTTAGGGAAATTACATCTGGTCTTGGCCAAAACAAAGAAAAGGGGAATTGCAGTATATATAAAGGACTGGCTAAAATCTAAATAGGTATATGCAGATGAAGAGGGAAGAACATTACTAATTGAAGTATCAATAAAACAAAAAAGAGTACTAATTGCAGTCATATATGCACCAAACACGAACCAGAAAGAATACTACAGTAAATTACATAAGCGGATTGCAGAACTGGAACTGGACAACATAAGTTTATTAGGGGATTTCAATAAACCCAAAGAAAGACTATAAAACTGATAATTAAAAAAAATTATGAAAGGAGAACACTACCAAATGCATTCTTTGAAATGGCCCAGGAATTAAATCTAAAAGATGTCTGGAGAGAAATCAACCCACAGAAGTGTCAATAAACATCATTTTCAAATCCCCATAATTCATGGTCCAGGATTGACATGGTGTGGATGGACCCGGAAATGGAGAAGGATGTAGAGGAAGTAGAAATAACACTGAACATGTGGGCGGACCGTAACCCATTAACAATCAAATGGAAAGGAGAGGCAAAAAGGAAAAAGAGATGGACCATGAATCAGAGGGTTGTGAAAGAAAAAAAACTATGTTCAATATGTGGAAAAAGAATTATTTTTCCCATTAAATATTTATTTTTAGAAGAAAAAGGTTAGGAAATGTTAAACTATGGGATATAATGTCACTGGTATCAATAATATTCAAGAATGTCATTTGATGTCTATGTAAATACAAAATGGTAATATCTTCATTTATTGTCATCATGCTTGCTGCAATCAAAGCACATCATATCTAAGATTCTTGATGAATCTAAAGTAGTGTGAATTGTGGGTAGATTTTTCTAAACCTATTTGAAATGATTTAATTAAAAATGAAATGTTGAAACATGTTCTACTTATACTTTGCCTTGTAATTATTGAATCAAATTACAAATTGACTCCTTTTTCATATTTCTGAACTTAAAAAGGATTTCAGCATGAATTTGTTCAATTCTACGTTAGTGGGAACACTGCTCCCAAAAAACATTAGCCATCCCTCTTATCATCTGCTGTATAAATTCACATTTATTGAATGTGAGAAATACAATAATTATCATGAATCAATGGGATTTCAAACAAAATCCTATGTTGATGATGATACTATTTCACTTTTTCAAGCTGTCTAAACACACTACATTAAAACTAGTGTCAAAAGACAATGTATTTTGAGGGGTAGCACTACAGATGTTCTACACATTGCAACAGACCATACTGTACATGACAAAGCTTTAAGATAACAAATTTGTTTGCTATTATTATGTCATGATTCCTCAACTTGTAGTGACATGCTTGTAGTTGAATTAATTAAAGTTGAAGCAAATCCTACTAAAAATAATTGTAATGTGCTGATATATTTGTAATGAAATTTGTTTATTTTCCCAACAGTTAAATATGTATCTGAATAGTCCACAATTAATTTGCTGCAATGTGCAAATTAATATTTTAGTTTAGTAACTGTGACTGCACAATTCAAAAGACGTATTTATGTTTGTGATATCTTGTCATCAGACATACAGTTGTTTAGCCATTAGATGTGTACCTTCCAAGCAGATTATGTTAGCTTGGAAGTTCATTTTGTTTTAAAATATAAATACTCCTTGATATGGTTCTTCATTCACATAAAAAATACCAGTAAGAGAATAAGCACTGTTGAACCTCCATATGAACATGGATTTTCACATCTGTTCTTATGAATCATTCACCAGTAATTCACTCATACAATGACAAGAATTGTTCAATATTAGTAAATACTTCAAAGTAATCCTGAGAAAAATTAATTATGAGGGATAAATTTCCTTAACATAGATTTCTCCTCTTTTCCTGATACTGTACATAGATTATTTGTTTGAATCTTTGAAATTTGTCCAATATTTATATTCCTGAAACTGTTCTCTTAGATTAAAAAGAAAAAGAAAAGTTTTTGCAGTTGTATAACTATCCTGCATAGTTTAAAGAATGATCTTCCATTCATGTGGAAGAGAACTATCATGATTCCAAGCACTTTAAAAACTGTAGGCATCAGCCCCCCTCCAAGCTGAAATGATGACTTAGTAGAGAAATTCATCTTATGTGGTGAAGGACCAAACTTCCCCATCAATCACTTTACGACTCTATAATGCCATTTATAGAGTGTGATACAGCAGTATCTCTCCCTCCCCTATTAATCAGGTTAAAATATTCCTTGGAAGTATGAATGTATGTATGACTTGGAATCTTACTATAGTTCTTACTGTTTCCTCTCTGCTATCGTTTCAGCAACATAACAATGAAAAGATTAATAGGTTCATAAACCAAAAAATATTATAGCTGAAAATACTTCCCACAATATTCCAACAAAATATTGCAATGAAGAATTTAACAGTAAGTTCTATGTGATGTAGCAATAATTCAATATCCAAAAGAAATAAGGTGTTTGTAGAATGTCAAAATACTCACAAAACAAAAGAAATTATGTCTTTACCTGGCTTAAATAGAAGGAACAAGAAATTTGTTTGATTTTAACAGGTCCTAATAATTGCTACCAATGTGCACACCTTGCTCCAGATCCCCATTGCACTTCAGTCAGGAAGTCAATTTAAGACAACACACAAAACCATCATGGGCAGCATATATTAAGATGCACTATCCCCATTGCTGTTCTGTATAAACTTGAACCCCCTTCAGCCAGATAATCACAAAGGCTAGATACAGATCTAAGTTCAAGAGTGGAATCACCATCAACCACCTCCTCTACATAGCCGACATTAATGTACGCTAAGAATGAATGCGACATCAACTTGGTGATGCACCTAACAGTAGATCTACAGTGTGGACATTGGGGTGTTACCTGACCTAGAGAATTGTGGCTGGCTGGTAGTAAAAAGAGGAGAAGTGGTTAAGACTGACGGCTATGTAACTGCCAGCAAGTCACATAGTAGATATACAGACCAGGTACAAGTACCTTGGTATCCCACAGTGACATAGGCACCACAATATGGAAGCAAAAAAGACAGCAACATCACCTGAAGGAGAAATTAGACAGATGTGAAAAATAATGACCAATGTGTTCCCAGTGGTGGTGGGAGCACTGAAGGCTCAAGCTGGGAAATGTGTTCAACAGGTCCAAGAACAATACCAGATCTTTCTGTCCAGAAGAATGTTGAAATATTGCATAGAATCCTCAAAGTCCCAGGTTTCTGATAGAAGACCCAAAATTGAGGAACACACATAAAGTAGCACATAAAAAGGTTACATGAGGTAACTATGCATGCCTTGTTTGCACTGGTGAACAATAAATTTTGTGTTGAATCTTAAATGTTCAATCATGCCCTATCAATAATCGCTTGTTTCAAATGCCGTCCTGCTGTTATAATCACAACTATTACATGATTAAAAACTTTTTCATGTAAAACAGAGTAAAAGAACTTTGGTTTTGAAGGTTTTTAAAATACTTGTCTATCAATGCATTGAAACCCAGTTTTGTTTTCATTTATCCAAAAATTTAATCTACCCTTCAAATCATGCCACCATCAATGGAAGGAAGGAAGGAAATCTAGTAGCGATGTTGAGTTTTTAAAATGTATTTATAAGATGTTTTTGGTCTCTGTTTCTGTTTTATCTGTTATTGTTGCTTCCTAAGATTTTTCTATAATTGTGACAAAATATAAATAAAATAAACTTCTTTATCATTGAATTCCAATTAATAAGAGCTGTTACTTAGAGTTAACTGTACATTGTCAAACATCATGTATGTATATACAGTTATACACTTTTATACAGTCAAGTATAAAAATGTATAATGTTTTCAGATGCCTTGATCCAGGGGTGGGTTGCTGCCAGCATTACTGCCTGTTTGATGCACACACGTGCAATTTTGGTCCGGTTTGGTCTGCACGCGTGTGCAGTTGCCTATAAATAGGTCTGCACATGCACAGAACACAAAAAAAATGAAGAAAAAAAACATGCCACACCGATTGGGGAACTGATTTGGAGGCGTGTCAGGCCTGGCTCGCTGCTTGTTCTGGCAACCCAGGCTGGCATATCACTACCACTTTGGCAGACCCAGTCTGAAATGGTAGGAACCCACCTCTGCCTGGATCCCAAACTTTAAGAGAATGGAATGCAGTTTTTTCCACACCAGGTGTAAACTCAAAAGATAATGAGTACACCAAAATTAATTTTGAATTGTTTTTCTTTATATTTTACTTGAAATGAATATAGTAACCAAATTCTTCTCCGAAGGATTTAATGTTATCTGAGTCTGATCTCTCTTTTATATCTCTTTTTGAGGGAATTGTAGATCATATACTGCATAATGTGTAATATTCAAAGTCCTTAATTTATTTTTGTTTTAGTTTTAATAATATGAATCTCTCTTATAACCAAGCTTTCACAGCAGTGTAAACACTTCTTTTTCAATAACAAAAATAATTCCATATCAAATTAACCACAGAAGAAGCTAAATAAGCTTAATAAAATAAGTGTGTTAAAAAAACTTTTCATTTTTTAAAAATAAAATAAAAAAGAATAATATATGCAAAAATAAATGAAGCAATGGAATTATTTTAGAAAAAAATCTAAAGTAGAGTAAAATAGAATATATATGGCAGAGTAGAAATTGTATAAATCAGATAAAATCACTTTCATGAAAAAAACTGTTAACAGGGAAATTATTTTCAATCCATCCAATTGCATGGCTGATTTAACTGTTGTTGCCTGTATCTGGATATTTTCTTTAGGAAGCTGTCAGGCTGGTCATATCTTCTTCCCTAGGAAAGAACGATCCTTGACTACATAGAGGTTAGAGAAAATGTACTTTTACTAGAGATGCCGAGTGAGCAAGGCAAGCTTTGTTAAGAAAAAAACTGCATGAAAATCACACATTGAAAGCAATCCCCAATGTTCCAAACCTTCCTTCCTAGGAAAATAGTTCAATCAGGTCTTGTTCTGATGTTTTGGGAACCTGGCGCCTCAAGCTCCATAGTAATTCCTTTCCCAGGGCCATGTCCCTGAAGGCAGGAAGATAGCTGAGTTTGTCATCTCTGGTTCCTGTCAGTGTCCATACTCCCCAATTTCCCATAGCATTCCTTTCCCACCTTCAGCACTCTTCCCTTCCCAAATGCCCCCTCCGCTCCTGGTTATTGCAGTTGCCAACGAGCTTCAAAGAAAGCAAACATGACGCTGACAAATGATTTAAACCCATACTGTCTACTTTCTTGCAATGAAATAGAAAGTATTTTAAAATTCTAAAATAAGACAAAGTTTACATTTGTAACCAAGCAGAAGGGTGTAGGCAAATCAGCATGAAGCCAGGCTATTAACAATTAAGCTTCAAAAAGTGATATTAAAAATAGAGGCACACCTAAAAATGCTGCAGGTGAGTTGATTACCTCTCCAAGCAGCAGATGGAGGCAGAAGTAAGGGGTGGAGGCAGTCATCCAAACGCACCACACAGGCTGCTGGAAAACCAAGAATCGGTGAGCTGGAGTAGTGGATGGCCAGCTCATCTTTGTGTCTCTCAGCTTACCTGCAGCTCACGCAGCACTTTGGAATTGCCTGCCTTCCACCCCATGCCTCTGCCTCCATCTGCTGCCAATGCAAACACTGCCAGTGCCACAGATGAGCGTCCCACGGCTGGCCATTGACTCTCAGCTTTCCCATGGTGTATCCATATCACCTACCTCCCCCTGTGCCTCTGCATCAGTCTGCACCTTGGACAGAGAAGCAACTCACCTGTGCTGCACCGGTTGTATAGCCCCAGAGTTGACCAAGGGACCGCAGTTGCCGCCAGATACCATCGGTCCCCGCACACTTGCTGCCTCTTCTGCACACACCAGCAGATGGGACGCCCAGCTGGACTAATCACCCTGAAATCGTATTTCCCCCAAAATGAGCCCTAATGCTTATTTTGGAGCCACCAAAATATAAAACCAGGTCTTATTTTGGGGAAAACATGGTAATTACTCCTGTTCAAATCTGGAGAACACACTGCCAAAGACCTGGCTTTGGCAAAAGAATCAGTTGTTTTTCAGCAGGGAGGGGGGGAAAAGCTTCACCATTCAGCGTGCCATTTTCTGGGAAAGTCCTACTATTTCAGGAGGAAATCCTAAAGATTATACTTTCAATCTAAGCTCTGTCCTATACATAGTCTAATTTAAATGTGATTCCTAAATCATCTTCAAATGCTGCTCTAAATAATACTGGATTTTCTATATCGGCAATTATGGGAACCAGTTTCAGCTGTGTTTCAATAGATGCCACAGAATTTAGTAAAGCTATATGAACAATTATGCTTCATTCTAAAATTGTAAAGTAATACAGATTTTTCCTTTTTTAATTTCTTTCTCTGTAGGGATGTGAGCTCATACAGACACCAGATCAAGACTTAACAGATTTCACCAAGTGCCTTCAGATACTTCAACAGAAGATAGAAAAAAGTAGTTTGCAGGTAATTCTAGCAACTCTGTCGATACACATTTTGGCATATGACTCTTCCAGGTATGTTCACTCTGTGACATAATGGCAAATAAAAATATAGAGGAAGCAGGAACAAAAAAAAAACCACCATTAACTGCCAAGAAGATATATCTTATTGTTTCTGCTGGTGAAACTGTCTTCTGAAGAGTGATCAGAATTGAATCCGCATACTACTAAAACTACTAAAACTCGCATGAAGTTTACCTGGGTGAAATGGTGTATCATATGATTCATTCACAAGGGAATGAAACCTGGGAAAATTGTGGCTGCTTCAGTGCTACTGGCTGTTGCTGTGCTGCTACTTGCAATCATGTGATCATCATTTTCAATGTTTACTGACAGTTTCCCAACCAGTCCTGCATTCCATTGCTCTCTCCATATCCAGCAGCAAGAAATTGACTCATTGTGGCTCTTAAAGAAGCAACAACTTTAAGGTGCATGAAGAAAGGCCTGGATATTTGTATTGTTTTTGTGTCCCTTCTGTGATACACAATATGCATATGTATCTATTTGCCATCTTTGTTCAGGAATTCAAGACATAACAGTGTTCCAGTCTCCTATATTTCTTTACAACAATTCTGTGAACTAGGTTGGTCTGAAAGTTATCAAGTAAGCTACTGTGAGTGCAAATGGAGTAGAAACTGGATCTTTCTGATGTCAGGAAAATACATTAATCCATTTTTCAAATACTTTCATTCTGAAATTGAATGTAGACCACCACCACTACTTCAGCTGTTAGAGAGCAAGCAGACTAGTCCCACTCTAGCTCATAGGAAGTCACCTGTATCTATTTTTTAAACTGTCTCTGGTGGTTTTCAACAACTCAATAGAAAAATGGAGGAGAGGAAGGGAATTCTAAACTGTTCTGAGATGAGAGTGGCAACATACAATATTGTGATAAAATAAATTACCGTAAAATAAAATATTGTCAGCATAATTGTTGGAAAGTGGAAAGTGAAGGGGAACCTCATAGTCAAGATGACATTAAACATTGAGATGCAGCAAGGAAGAGTATAGATGAAGAAAGGGCTGTACATTTCCAGAATCACAAGGAAAGGTACAAAATAAGGAGACAAGATGCCAGAGGAAAGAGAAGGTCAACTCAAGAATACGTAGCAAACACTAATTATTGTGAGAGTTCTTCAACACAACAATACTCACCTTCATTGACAAAACCTCAGTAGAGAAAGAACTAGGCAAAAGGCATGACTTGCACAATGTAATATTTATGTCAGTTGGTGCCATGGCCAAAGTCTACCCCACTATCATATGTTTCTATTCCCTGAGAAATTACCAGTTTGTGCTCTATGAAGAAAAAGGTCAAGATTGGCAACTTGCAACTTCTACCCTAATGAGTTTCTCAATTTATGTAGCAGCAATGAGCCTTTTGCAGACGAGTTCAGGAATAACATTAAACAATAGAACTGCCTCTTTCAAATGACGACAAGCTATAGAGAATGTGCTGATTTATTTGGAGAACTAGTATTCCAAAACTGTCCGCTGAATGTTGCTTTAAGCTGAGGAAAAAGATGTGAAAATGTTAGATTCGTGGTAGATCAATTACATATTGTCATCAAAATTTGTTAAGCAAAAAGCATCTATATTTGTCTTGCTGTAGACCTCTCTTCTTTAATAAAATGATGTTTTCTTCTTGAATTTTAAAAGCAGAAAATAATAGTCAGCTATGGTCATTCTACGTCTCTGTTTAGGTAAATAAAATAACTCTGAAAGGACAATCAAAGGTGTACTTGTTATCTTGTAATAAATAATATTCTGTAATTCATTTATTCTACTTGTGCATGATCAAACATTGTCACTTAGTTCCTCTCTTCTGGGTTGGGTAGTAAATCAAAATCCTTGTTCTTCCAGACAGTTGGGAAAATGAACAAAGATTGACTCACTCTTTACTGTTTATGGATAATATCTATGCTTATTGAATCATAACTAGTTTCAGGTGGGACAGAAATATGATTGATCAGAGTACATCTGCTTCTAGAAATTAATGAGCTTTGAAAACAAATCCTATAATACTTCAAAACTGTTCTATTATCCAGTTTCAGTAATCCATCAGTAAAAGGCAATATCAAGCAATTCCCATTTTCCCATCCATTTCATATTGGTCTGTCATTCATGCTGATGATAGTCCTGCATTTTTGTTGAACTCCATTCTTAAAGTAAACATTCATTAGACCACTTCCCACATAAAGCTGTCCATGAGTTTTCTTTGCAAAGAGCAATGGCTCATTAAACTCATTTCTGAAGTTGTGCAAGAATTTCTTAGTCCACTCTGTAGATGCACATGCCAGTTGCTTTTTTCCCACTCATTATATGCTATTCCTTCCCTGATGCTTAAAAATAATTTTATATATGTAGTACTGCTGGAGAAAAAATAGCGACCCTCTTTTCTTATGACTTCACTTGCATTCTTCTATAAGAAAATACAGTGAATTTTCTTATTAGGCTAGCATATTTGAACTCCAGGTAGAAAATATATTTACTAAGGTTCTGCTGTTTTGTTCATTGTAGCTTCTATGAAAGAATGGGTTGTTAGTTCAGATGGTGATCTCTCCAAAGAATTCTTAAAGCAAACACAGTGAGAACAATGCAAGCCATATGGGCTGCTATGGTGTTTCAATAATATATCTATCACCACGTGCTTTTCCTAATAATGCAATCCATTGTTGAGACTGTTGATGGATGTTGTTCTCCATAAATATCTGATCTTTGAAACTTAACAAGGCTAATTGTAATAGCATGGACAAAAGAGAGCAGCATCTCTTTTGGGAATTATAAATGATCTGAATGCATGTTACAATGCACAGTATAACTTTTCTCTTCAATTATATTGTGACACAACTTACATGTAATGTCAGGTAGCTTTTTTTTTTTAAAGGATGGTTTTTATTTTTCATTTTCATAACATATAATCACATGTATACTATTACATGGCCATTATTGTGTTGTATTATTGAATATTTACATCAATTCATCTTACCATCAGCTCCCAAAAACAATTATTGGCTCTTCTGCTCTCCATACTTGTACCTTATTTGTACCTTATCCATCACTTTCTTCTCCCTCTTTCCTCCCNACATATACATATGTACATGTACATGTACATGTACGTATATTTGTTTACATTTGTACCTTAAACTGCTATTTCAAAATTTATATTATTCAGATTACTAATTTTAATTTCTATGTTGCATGTGTTTTGCATGAGCAACCTCTTAGCACAATGGTGGGTTCTGGATTCTGTTCCAACCGGCAGGGTTGGAACGGCCCTGGCATCACCCACATGGACGCGCACATGCATGCATCGTACTTGCCTGTGACGCTTCCGCAAGCCTCCATGACACTCCAACTGCTTAGTGGAGCATCACACAGACACCATACGCCCCATGTGTGTGCATAGAAGCGCCAAAAGCTTAAGCACAGGTAAGGAGCATGGGTGGATGTGCCCTCCGTAGCACACGGTGCTCCGAGCAGGATCCAGTACGCCATACCAAGGCGTACCACCTGCAACCCACCACTTTCTTAGCACCTCTTAAAGGTGTCTTTTAGCCAAGCTTTTTGTCTGTATGTTTTCTTAATCTTGCTGATATTGTTTGATTTAGTTTTGAATATCATGGATGTTTTATTGTACTGGTTGCTGACAGTAATAAAGTTAAGCTATATAAATTACCAAATGCTTCTATTATCATCAACAGTATACATTACTATAGGTTTTTTTTCCCTGCATTTCTTTTCCTTTAACTTTACATGTTACAACTGTTCCAGTTCCCAGACTTACAGACATAAATATGTATGTATATGTATGCCCACACAATCAGGAAAAGGTTTATGTTTCCAGTGAATTGAATGTGGTATAGTTATAATAGCAAAAGTTATTAAACAGTGTACCATGTTAACTGTCAGTAAATAATCTTTTCATGTTGCTGATCCCACAAGCCATTCTCAGTAAAATGTGAAATTTTTTCTAACAATGATCTCATTAAAATTCTGTGGTTGCTTTAGATTAATTGATATGATTCAAATACTCATAGGAAGCTACCTAATATGGAAATTGCATACAGGTATTCTCCTGTGTGCTGCTTGGAGAGTCAAAGCATGGTTAAATTCTGACCATGCCTCCTAGTCTCCTCTAGTTCAGTTTTTCAATTCAGTCCAGCCCTTTCGGACATCTTTATAACAGCGGATCAGCAGCAGGAGCCTTTTCATCAGATCGCGAAAAGCCGCTAGCAATGAGCAGTGAGGCAGGCACATCAGAGGTCTTGACAGTAGCCACCCTCCATGAAGCGCCTCCTGCCACTTGAACTGTGGGCTGGAAGCCTTCCTGATTCTGACATTGTCATGATCACCATCAGCACGCTCTTGCACTACATCGCCCCAGGCCTCGGTGAGTGGAGCCGACAGACACCACCTGCCTACAATTTCAGCTGTCGGTGGTCAAGCAGCTCACCCCCACTATGGCAGATGAGCATGTGCAGGGCAGGCAGCCATTTGGGGACAGGGCCCGACATTAGCCCTTTTCCTGACAGCCATTTCAAGGGAGGTCTGAGAACAGACCGTTCTGTTGAAATAAGTGACCACCATCCCAGCCCTCCAATTGGGGGGCGGCTGCAACTCTTTGCCACCAGTTGGGAGGAGATCACATTGGATGCATGGGTCCTTCAAACAGTGCAACTGGGTCTCACTTTAGAATTTCTCTTCCCCTCTCCGAGACATTTCATTTGCTGCCCAATCCCCAGATGCTGCACCAAGAAAAGCCTCATGGAGGTCAAGATTCTTCATCTGAGGGAAATCATGGCCATAGAACCAGTCCCTTCTGGGCAGGAGCGCAGGGGGTTCTATTCCAGCCTGTTTCTGGTTCCCAAGAACTCGGGGGGGG